CAGTTTTAGAACCATATGGTTCCTATTCAGTAGTACAGTTTTAGAACCATATGGTTCCTATTCAGTAGTACAGTTTTAGAACCAATCATATTATTTCATTGAACCAAACAACAATCACTGTACATCATTTTTAAATTTTCTCCTATATCTGCTATAAAGTATTTTACATTTGATCTTGATTGTCATAGAACACATTAAAGTAAATTTATTTATGTGTGCTTTGCTCAATATAAATCCCTGTATTCAGCATTCAATTCTTACAAAACCCCCACCCCATAGTCCAACCCATTCACTGTAATTAATTGACTCACTGGAAAAATCGTCTATTAAGGCTTGTTTAAAAGACTTAATTCTGTTGGGTTCTGCCGTCGGTGTAATTTTTGACAATGTTCAGCGTCCAGGTTTTATTGTGTCACTAACAGTATCTTTAGGCTAGAATTATTAATATGATATTACTGTTTGCATTCCTACTTCAACATTCAAATGGAAATGTGCAATTTTTTCTCAATAATGAAAAATTATATTTCACTGCTGGAGAAATCTTATACAACACTTTTGTAAAACATCCAATTCTTATATTTGAAAGCAAACTGAACTTCAAATTTCAGGTCTAATACCAGAAATTAAATAACATAGCAATTTTCAGAGTTTGTAAACTACAAATTTCCACTGAACCAATTGATTATAACTGTTAAATACTTTAATAAACAAACAAACATACCCGGTAGGTCAGGTAAAATATTGAGTTTTTTATGATATGGAAAAAAAAATAGAAATGTGTTTCTGGTTAAGTTGTCATTAAGTATCATGGAAAAAAGATATGAAATTTGAAGAAATAAACAAAACATTTTTGCGCGACATTTTCTTCACACTTGTATTACAAATACAAATAAACTATAATATTTTAAGTGAGCTTTGATTTGTTTTGACTCCTTGTGAAAGCCAAGATGTGACTAATTACATTTGTCACCCTAGATATTTATCATCACAATTAAGACTCCAACCGGTGATCAAAACGTCACAAAGAAATGATTGTTTTTCTATAATATATTTGTGATTAAATCCTTTTTTCACTACACGTGTATTTTACTTTTTCAACATTAAAGTTCAATATTTTTCAAACATTATTTTGTATAAACTTTTAAAATAAACTAAAGTACCAAAATGAAATGTTTTCTAAATTATTTTTTTTCAGACAAAAGTGAAGCATTGAAAATACACATCACAGTGAAAAATTCAAAATAAGTCAGTTATGAACTCTGTTTGCATGTTTGTTGTGAGTCTGAACCAGGGAGTTAAAATCAATATTTCATATTTTATCTAGGTCAAGAATGTACAAGTTCCTGTTACATAAGATTTCAGTCACAACACTAACACATTCCTATACAAATAAACATTATGCTTCATATACATCAACATAGCTGAGGAAAATTAACAAATATTGACGAAAAATTCAGTCTCTCTACCTTTTCAGAATTATCAAAACATGCACATAATTACAAGTACCCTAAATCTGAATTAACATAGAATGGGAAAAAATAAAGTATACACAATCACTAAAATTTAGCAATGTTATACAAAAAATACGAAATATTTTCCTGGCATCATTTTAGGGGTTACAATTTTTGTTTATCTTATTCTTCAGAACCAATATGACTTCATTTTATGAATATTCCCCAAATGTCAAACTTTCAAGAAAACACCAGCTTCATCAGCTTGAATATTCATCATGAATTAACAAATTCATCACATTGCATATTCTATTCTTCATTAACCCAATCATATGAAAATGTATGACCTTTTTCGGTAATCTTCCTCTATGAATATGCATGATTTGATGATAGATTTACATACCGGTACATAATAACATGCAACTGGAATAATCATTTCAAAGGTTATATACACATATATATGTGTCCAATATGATGTAAGGGAGATAATCAAACACGATTTTAAATCTGATGGTAAAATCCAAATGATTTCTGCCTTTACAATATCGTACATTATAAAATATGTTTATATCTTATCATAAAATGCTTGATTTAACTTTCCAAGTCACAAATATGAAGAAGACAACTAACTACATGTTATATGTACAAAGTGTGTACAGGAAGTGTTCCCCGATATTTTACAGGTATATGACAAATGTTCAATGTAATAAGAACATATGGTATCATTGGATACTTTTGTTTGTGTAACTTTTCTACTTTTGGACTCTTTCAAACTTTTTCAACAATACTTCAGTTTTAACTTTCTGAAAAACCGGCTTTTCCTTGAAAGGAAATGTCATAAGAATATTAGTGGTACTCCAATGTCCATAGAAATAGCACAACTCTAAATTATAATAAACAATTATCTGATAATTTCATTATTTAAACTTAAACTCAAGTTTCTGATATATACATTGTACATGATAATTCACATATTAGAAAAACAAGGTGGGATTGTATCAGAGAAAGTTAGTTATAAAAACTAAATTTTAAATCAGAGTTAAAATATCTATCCAACAGCAAAATTATCATCCAGGCACAATATCAAAAACAAATATGTAATTGAATAAAAATTATCTTGATTATTTTAGCAAAATATGTTGAAGTTAGGCAAAGTATAAGACACTAACATCGAGTGGAAAACAATGTAATATGATAATGATCAGGTGTTACATTCCACAATTAAAACTGCTATGAAGTTTCAATAACCATAAAATGATTTGTTATCAGCAGCTCGTTTCAAAAACTATAAAAAATATTTTCAGAGCACACACATAAAGTCATGTAAATGGACCAAATGGACCAAAATGGTATATAAAATGAACATTTGACATTTGACCCTTTCTCATGACAAGGTCAAATATGAAATCATAAAATTGATTTCGTTAGCATCTTACTTGTTGGACTTTATTTTTAAATTGAAAATAAACCTCTTTCATAGCACTATTTGAAAGTTTCTTTCATAAAGAATATTTTTGGTACACATGATATTTTTAATAATTTACAATAAAAGATTATTTAATAAAATACATGATTTGGTATAATATTTATAAGGCTATAAGTGAATATAATATTTCCTATACAAACTCTTAAAGAAATAAATTATATATATAACTGAATAAAACTACAATTTATACTGTAGTTTGAGAAAATACATGTATCTAGATTTTAAGGAACAAACAATTTCTTCCAGTCTTCAATAATAATGAGTATGCATGTCTATAAATTGCGCAACAATAGATTCAATGTTTGTTTTAAATCAAATGTTTAACAACAAGATTTTGGTTTTAATACTTAATACTATATCTACAACCTGAAAGTACTGGGTTATAATGGATTACAGCTACACTGAAGTTAAAAAGAAAGCTACTTGGTATGTCGTAAACGTGATTCAAGAAGAAGAATATCCCTTCAAAGCTGTGTAGAAAAACACACTTAAATGTGTAATTTGCTGTAAGGTTGAAATTAGGCCAAAAAAAAAAAAAGGGTATTTATGATAATCACAGATTATTCTAAAAATCACAAGTTAACAGTTGCCTTTGATGTTAGTAATCAGGGACAAACACCTCTCTTTTTGTATCTATTTTTTTCCAGTTATCATTTGTCTCGGAGATAAACCTCGTAGTTGTCATCAGAATTGCATCCTGGTGGCGTCAGTGGCATTATCATCGCCATGTCTGGCCTTCGATACTGTCTCCATTGTATAAAGTGCTTCCTTGGCTTAGAAATTTTCCCTCAGCATCTGAAGCTTCACTGATCCTGGCATGTCTCGGACGAGGTACATCACCAACCAGGCTGCAAATACAATCAAGTTCTGTAAATATGAAACAAATATTAAGGGGTAAATATCTAGAGTGTCAGTATAGGTTTCGGGAATGGAGGCATACATATACAGCCCATTTTTCTTATCTGCAGTATGTCACGTTACCAACGATATCAAACTTGGTATCATCTGGTACACTCTTGTTTCTGTTCATGCAGAACAATCTTTATTATAATGTATCAGAACAAGTTCGCTAGAATTAAAATTCGAGCAACATTGACAGATAAAAACATTGTACTCAAGAGGGTACTTCCGTATTTGTACTTACGTTAGATATTGTACTCAAGAGGGTACTTATGTATTTGTACTTACGTTAGATATTGTACTCAAGAGGGTACTTCTGTATTTGTACTTACGTTAGATATTGTACTCAAGAGGGTACTTCTGTATTTGTACTTACGTTAGGACATTACTGCTATGGCTGATATGCCTCTCAGAATCCCGAACCATATGCCTTGAAAAAGAAAACGTGAAGTTTTAAGACAAAACTGTAGACTTGTGGAATCGTGTGAAAATAATTGTTGTACTGTATATTTAAAAAGGCTCTTTAAAAAAACATACAAAAATATTAAATAATTGTATATTACATTCATGAGTTTGAAAATTATTATCAACAAATTTTGGCCAAAAATATATTAAAGGAATTCCTACTCTGAATGTTTTCTGAATTTGTTCAGTGCTCAGTGCAGTTTTCCCCTTTTGTCTTCAAGCTTGAAGATGTAACTTAAAAGTCTACAAGAAACTGAAAACAAAAGTTTGTGAGGAATCCATAATCCCCAAATGTTTAGACAATCATTGGCATGAAAAGTAAACCAAGGGAGATAACTATATATAGAGGAGCACAAACGCAATTTTATCAAGTAAAACTCTGACATCCTAAGATATACAGTGTACTCACATATAAAACTTTGCAATTGTAGGTGAAAGACTGTATGTTAAATATCCCTCTGACAAATGGACAGACAGACTGACAGACAGATAGACAGACAGGTTTAAACCAGATATCCCATCTGGTAGTATCAATGAAAGACTAAAATTGATATACATGGTCATTCAATAACAGAAAATTAAAAAAAATATCATAATTATTATTTACAAGAAGCAAAATGTCCAGACCAGAATGTGATTATGTTTGATTTATCCTTTATTTACTTTTTTTATCAACTGAACTTATAAAAGGCATAAAACTATGTTTACCCATTTCAAGATCCTCATCATATAGTCCAAGGTTGGGTATGTTGGCCAGATGAAAGTCCTGTTCCCTCCTAGAGTACACTTTCTCCTCGTTGGGATCCTTCATTACCGACCGAGACTAAACCACACCATCAGTTTTCTGTGAAGGATATGAAAGCTTGAGTGTGACAGATATTGGACATTTATAGATTATCACACTGTATTATCAGGGTTTGTCGTTTGAACTCTTTTTAAATTGCATTTTGAAATACAATCATGGCTATCCCTGGAGTCAAAATTTTATCTACATAA